GCTTACAGCTTTACACCTGAGCTTACAGCTGGAGTCACTCTTGGGCTTACAACCGGAGTTACACCTGGACTTACAACTGGAGTTACAGCTGGGCTTACAGCTGGAGTAACACTTGGACTTAAAGCTGGAGTCACACCTGGGCTTACACCTGGGCTTAGAGCTGGGCTTACAGCTGGAATTACAGCTGGAATTACAGCTGGGCTTACAACTGGACTTACACCTGGGCTTACAACTGGAGTTACAGCTGGTGTTACACCTGGGCTTACAACTGGAGTCACACTTGGACTTAGAGCTGGACTTACACCTGGGCTTAAAACTGGGCTTACACCTGAGCTTACAGCTGGAGTCACACCTGGGCTTACAACTGGAGTTACACCTGGACTTACAGCTGGACTTACACCTGGGCTTAGAGCTGGGCTTACAGCTGGAGTTACACCTCGGCTTACAACTGGGCTTAGAGCTGAAGTTAAACCATCAAACCAAACCAGCAGCTAGAACCACTTGGAACAGACTTTATCCTGCCAGAAAGTCTTCACAGCACTTTATCAACAAGTCAGATTTATCTCGTCCTTTTAGATTTTTAAACATTATGACGACGTAGAAACATTTCTTAGAGAATATATCAGATTTATTAGAATGAAAAACGAATGAAGCACATCAGTCAGTTTTCATGCTTGGCTGCAGCATCAAATGGATCAATCTCTGTCCTCCTGGTTAGTAGACTAGCAGCTTTCTCCCACCTGGCGTCCCCCCCCATGACGACTGAACATTTCCAGATCATTACATCTTATCTACAAAACCCTCAGCTGTGCAATCTCATAGAAATATGTTTCCCATCAGCATAGATCTGCATATTAGCATTGAGTACTTCATGTAGTCAGCTGATTAACTGATTTAGGCTTTGGTTTTAAATCAACTCGTTTTTCTGAAGAGCTGAACTTGCTCCATGGAGGGGTATCTGATCCTTGGTAGCTTGAAGCTTCCTGCTGAACTGGGACAAGAAGAACCACCATCCAACTCTGCTATAAGCTGTGGACACCTAGGTCCAGCCGTATAACCATTACCTCATCATTACCTGGCAGAGGAGATCTCAAAGCCTTTGACGTTTTCCAGCAGGATAAAACCGGGAAGCTTGCTGAACCTGCAAGACACCAGCAGAAGAAAGCTGCTGAACACATTGTAGAGCCTCCATGGTCACCTAGAAGCTGCTGAACACTGAGTAGAGCCTCCATGGTCACCTAGAAGCTGCTGAACACTGAGTAGAGCCTCCATGGTCACCTAGAAGCTGCTGAACACTGAGTAGAGCCTCCATGGTCACCTAGAAGCTCCTGA